GGCCTAGGCAGGCAGGAACCACGGCTCGGAGCCCGGGGCACCTATGAGATTCCAGGCCTAGGCAGGTAGGAACCACGGCTCAGAGCCCAGGGCACATACAAGACTCCAGGCCTAGGCAGGCAGGAACCACGGCTCAGAGCCCAGAAGTGGCTCCGTGACCAGGTCTGGGGTTCCGGGAAGATGCCCCTCACTGGAGCACTAAAACACTGGGCCTCGCCAACGCCTCTGCCCAGGTACGCCACGAGGACTCCGCGCAGGGAGCGCGCCACACCGGCTCTGAGGCACCAGGCCCCTCCGGCAGCAGCCTGGGGCTCCGAGCGCTGCTGATGGTCACTGTTTGTTTTGCATCTAATGACACTGCCTGGGTATCAGCCTGGTGATTCTTCCCAGCACTGTCACCTGCTGGAAGCCAACACATGTTTAGATATGAACGCACTGCCTCTGGGGCAGAGGTGGGGGCGGGAGGCAGGCACTCCCGGGGGCAGGCGGTATTCCAGCCAAGAATGTTCATCTCCTTCACGTCCGCCAAGCGTGGACACTGTGACTTCGCATGAGCACGCACTGGACACAGGAAGCAGACTGCTACAATCACCCTCTCTTTTCAATTTATGAATTAGAGAAATTTTTTTTATAATTGTGCTTTAGGTGAAAGTTTACAGCTCAAGTTAATTTCTCGCACAAAAATTTATACACATTGTTATGTGACATTAGCTGCAATCCCGATAGTGACAGCACACTCCTCCTTTCCACTCCATGTTTCCCGTATCCATCCAATCAGCTCCTGACCCTCTCTGCCTTCTCACCTCACCTCTGGACAGGAGCTGCCCATTTAGTCTCATGTATCTACTTGACCTAAAAAGAAGCACACTCTTCATGAGTATTATTTTATGTTTTATAGTCCAGTCTAATCATTGCCTGAAGAACTGGCTTCGGGAGCGGTTTTGGTTCTGGGTTAACAGAGCGTCCAGGGGCCATGTCTTCGAGGGTTCCTCCAGTCTCAGTCAGACCATTAAGTCTGGTCTTTTTACTAGAATTTGAGTTCTGCACCCCACCTTTCTCCCGCTCCGTCAGGGACTCTCTGTTGTGTTCCCGGTCAGGGTGGTCATTGGTGGTAGCTGGGCACCATCTAGTTCTTCTGGTCTCAGGCTGATGAAGTCTCTGGTCTGTGTGGCCCTTTCTGTCTCTTGGGCTAATTCTTTCCTTGAGTCCTTGATGTTCTTCATTCTCCTTTGCTCCAGGTGGGTTCGGACCAACTGATGCATCTTAGATGACCGCTCACTAGCTTTTAAGACCCAAGACGCCACTCACCAAAGTGGGATGCAGAACATTTTCTTAATAAACTTGGTTATGTCAGTTGACCTAGATGTTCCCCGAAACCATGGTCCCCAGACCCCAGCCCCTGCCACTCTGTCCCTCAAAGTGTTTGGTTGTATTCAGGAAATTTCTTAGCTTTTGGTTTAGTCCAGTTGTGCTGACAGCCCTATATTGCAATCACCTTTTCTTAACTAAAAGGAAGACAGAAGGATATCCTTGCCAAGACGTTCCAGCAAGCTGTCCCGCCACCACTTCCGATGATAAGTGGAAAGTGGGGCGTCTTCAAAGCAACAGAATGCTGTGTGACTGTGCTTATCAGAGAAAAGGACCCGTGTGTCTTTAACAACTACCGACTCGTCAAAGTGGTTCCGAATGACTGAAGCTGATATTCGTCAATGATCCAACAAACGGGTTGGAGGTAGAATGAACAGAATTTCTTTTGTAAAATCTAATTTTACACCCTGGGTGGTACTAATGATTTACACACTCGGCTGTTAACCAAAAGGTCGGAGGTTTGAGTCCACCTAGAGGCAACCTCAGAAGAAAGGCCTGGTGATCTACTTTCAAAAAACCAACCATTAAAAACCCTATGGAGCAGCTTTACTCTGACACACAGAGGGTCACCATCAGTTGGGAGCTGATTCGATGGCAATTGGTTTGGAGTCCCCGGGAGGTGCAAATGGTTAACCTGCTTGGCTGCTAACTGAAAGGTTGGAGGTTCAAGTCCACCCAGAGGTGCCTTGGAAGAAAGGCCTGGTGATCTACTTCCAAAAAACCAGCCCCTGAAAACCTTATGGAGCAGTTCTACTCTGACACACACACGGGGCTGCCATGAGTTGGAGTCGATTCCACAGCAACTGGTAACTGGTTGATTTTCACTGGTTCATAACCACCCACGAGTACAGGACAGAGAGCCAAGCCAGGGAGTGGTGTTCAATGCCGGGCCCGGTGTGAAGCCCAGCTGGGACCCCTCACCCCTGGGCTCTGCCCCCCAGGCTGGGGTGGGGTACCAGACAATCACAAGCACCTGTTTCATTCCCAGCCAGGCCCCAGGAGCGCCTGCCGCTACAGCACCGAGTCCAGAGGGTGCTGTCTGGTCTCCCCCGCCGCCTTCCCGACCCAGGGGCTGTGGGAACAGAAGCTGCGGGGGACATGACGCCGGGGGAACACTCAAGGGCAGGCAGGGGACAAATGGAACTCGCTATGGCAGTATGTTCATGCTGTTTGGGGGCCCACAGCAGAAGTGTGTGATTTTCCAGGAATTTTCTTCAACACACCAAAGAAGTTTCTAAAAACGTTAACGATTGTGTTTTAATCCCTCAGTCTACGGCCCCCAGTGCTCGTGGCTGCAGCTCACCTGCAGCTTTGGGGTGTGAGAGGTTTGGGGTGCATGTGAACACATGCATGTGTGAGGGGGGCCCTCCATGGGCTTACCCACCCTGGAAGTCCCACAGTCACCCCAGACCCACCACGAACCATCATCAAAATGGCAAGGAAAGAGGAGGTCACTCTGCCTGGAGCCTGCTACTCCCCTGAACCCCTTCTCCTTCAGATCTCAGCTTCTAGAAGGTTCCTTCTGGAACCCAGAACCTTCTGGAAAGTTCCCGACTACGCCACTCCACCCCCATGTAGAGCAGGGGAGCAGCCCCCGATGCTCCCTGGAACCGTCAGCCTCTGCTTTTTCTGCTACACCTACATGTGCCTTGAGTGTCACCCCCAGCAGCCCCCAAGGGGCTCTGCACCCCAAATGCAGCTGGGTGGGTAAGAGACACAGGACGCAGACACGCAGAGAGGGTGCAGGGACATGTCCAGCGGGCCACCCGCCACCGCCTCCAGAGGAAGCCTGGCACGAACCCACGTCCGTGGTGGGCAGAAGCCCTGTAGGGGTCGGGGGTGGGCACCACAAGACGGCTCGGGCACAGCACGGGCGACAGCTCAGCCTCCACGTCCAGGTCAGCCCCTGGCTGTGCCTCGATGTCAATTAACCGCAATTAAAACTCTGAATTTCCACAGATGTTCACAGAGGGCTCAGCACCAGCAAGGCACCTGTGGGGCCCGCGTACCAATTTCTGATCTGCGGGGGGGTGCCAACCTCATAGCCAGAGCAGAGCGGCACAGTGGGGTGGGTGGCTTCCGCTTCTCTAGATGAACCAGGGTGAGCCCCGGAGGGCCCCCAAAAGGCCACGCTGACCCAGGGCGGCCCAGAGGTGGGGGATGGGGCAGGCGGGGCCAGGCAGAGGAGGCAGCCTTCATTGAGGGCAAGAGAAAACACAGGAAGAGCTGTGCTCAGCAGCCAGGAGGCCAGCAAGCACCTTAAGGACAGCCCAGTGCCATCTGTTTCTCCCCACGGAGGACGCAGTGAGAAAAGCAGAGGGAGCCATGTCTGGCAGTGACGGGGAGGGGAGAGGCTTCCCTGACAGGGACTGGGCCTCGGGCAGCACACGGTCACCCAGGATGAGCCTCAGGCCGAAGCGCAGCACACAGAGCCCACCCCACCCCGCCAAGAGGGTGCCCTCACGATAATAATAACGACCCTCTCCCATCCACAGAGGAGCCAGTGTCTGATGGGGGTGCTAGTGGAGGGCTGTGGACAGTGGTGTGGTATGGGGGTCGGGCTGAGGGGGCTGGGGATTGAGGGGCTGTGGGGCCCGCAGGGTCCGGACACTGCAGGGGTGGCTGGCCTGACCTCCCAGGGGCGGACAGTTCGGCCACAGTGGGGAGGACCCACAGAGGGCAGTGAGGGCCAGTTTCTATCGTACGCCCACCGCTCTGGAGTGACCCGCTTCTTGCTCAGCGGCACCGTGAGGCAGAGGGTGACGCCCCAGGGCCGGGGCTGCACGCTCCAGGTATGCTGGTGCCTAGGCAGGCACACCCTGAGGCCGCTGTGTGCACAGTGGGGTGGTGCAGGGAGGCAGGGGTGCCCAGGGTCCCCCAAAGGCCGGGCCAGCTGCGAGGGGCAGGGGAGCTGGGTGCGGGTGAGAAAGCATGGGGGTCAGGAGCCAATGAGGTCCAGCCAGCCCTCTGGGGGGCCCACAGGGTCAGGAACTGGGAGAGGAGGTGGAGGGGAGAGGTCTGCAGGTCAAGCCAGAGGAAGAGAGGCGGTTCTGGGGCTCCTGGCCGAGTTGCCCTTCAGCCTTCCCCCCACACCGGGCCGGCTCCCTCCTGGTTTCCGGCTCTCTTGCAACTCCCGTCACTCCTGGGGAGTAACAGCGGTACCTACGGCCCCACTTTCCAGATTAAGAGACCGAGGCACAGGGAGGGAGCCTCCTTCCCCAGTAACCTCCCCCAGAAACCACACAGGTGAGTTTTAAACACAGGAAATGGGGCAGGCCCGGCACCCCCGGCTCTCCCCTCAGACCTCTCCAGCCCTGAGGGGTGATGTTCCCATGATGCTCTGGGCCCCGCAGATGCTGGAGGGGAGGTAAGGAAGTGGGGTGAGGAACAGGGAGGCACCTCCCACCCAGCAGGGGCCTCAGGACCCCACCAGAAGGAGCTCTGTCCCCAGGGGCTCCATGTAGCTGGGGACAGATGTGGTGGAAGCAGGAGGCACAGATGAGGCTGAGGCCTGCAGGGGCCTCATTCCAGCACGGGCAGTCAGCTCCTGGGCCCAGGGCCACCACCGGGCTCCTAGCAGGGATTCCAGCTCGGCCTTCTGGAACTGCAGTGACTCTCAGGGGGGAAGAAGGGCCAGGGCAGGAGGGCCTGGGTCAGCCCGGCCCCAGGGCACCCCGCCACGGACGTGACCTCACTACCTGGTCTTCAGCACCTCCTGGACCCTCTGTTCCAGTTCCAGCCGCCTCTGCCGCTCGCGCTCCAGCTCCTGCCGCAGCGTCTCTGCATTGGTCTCTTCTCGCAGCTTCCGAAGCTCCTCCTCTGCGCGGGAGAAGAAAAGGCAGGTCACCATCAGACTCTAAGCTACTGAGGGCCCGATGCTAAGACCCCACACCACAGGTCACCACCGCGGATTTACCGAGGGCGCTAAGACGCCACACCGCAGGTCACCACCGCGGATCTACCGAGGGCGCTAAGACCCCACACCGCAGGTCACCACCGCAGATCTACCGAGGGCGCAGCACTAAGACCCCACACCGCAGGTCACCACCGCGGATCTACCGAGGGCGCAGCGCTAAGACCCCACACCGCAGGTCACCACCACGGAGCTACTGAGGGCACAGAACTAAGACGCTAAAAGAACAGATACACTTTTCCTCAATAAAATGCTCCAAGAACCTTGTTTTGGTCACTTTGCAGAAGGCTTCAAAGAAGGGCACCTGTCTGTCCATCCATCTGCCCCCCACCCGCAGCCCGCCAGGTGGACGGCTGCATTTCTTTCTCCTCCTTCATGGGTACACCAGCAGGAAGTAACCAGAACTGAGGCGCCTGTTACACATCAGGGCAAGATTTGGGATGAAGCAGGGCTGAGGATTTCTTTCCTGTTATGGATTGACTTTTGTCCCCCAAAACTACGGGCTGGAATCCTAACCCCTAACTGTGGGTGTCATCCCATTTGGAAATAGGGTTTCCTTTGTTGTTACTGAGGCCGTATCAGTGTAGCCCAAGTGACCCTGTAGGACAGAGTAGAACTGCCCCATAGGGTTTCCAAGGAGCATCTGGTGGATTCCAACTGCCGACCTTTTGGTTAGCAGCCGAGCTCTTAACCACTACGCCACCAGGGTTTCCTATCAGTATAGGCTGAGTCCTAAACCTGCCCATGAGATACAAAAAGAGCAGATTAGACACCGAGAACAGCCAAGGCTTCGAACCAGTTGTTCCCGGTTTGAACCCCTGCTAAGAATTTGCATTTCTAACAAGTTCCCAGGCAATGCTAATGTTGCTTGTTAAAGTTATCTTGTTAAAATGTAGATTCTGAGTCAGCCTGATCCCCAGGTGATTCTTACATATAATAAATTTTGAGAACAGCTGCTCTACTAGTGGTTCTCAGAACTGGTCCGGCGTAGTGGTTGAGGGCGCGGCTGCTAATCAGAAAGTTGGTAGTTTGAATCCACCAGCCGCTCCTTGGAAACCCTATGGGGCAGTTCTACTCTGTCCTATAGGGTCGCTATGGAAAACGGGTTTCAGCCCTAACCAGCAGTATTAGCATCGCCTGGGAACTTGTTAGAAATGCAAATTCTCAGTGTGGGTGCGAACCAGAATGAACCAGTTCGAAGCCACGGAAAAAACAAGCACAGACTGGAGCCAACAGAAGTACATGTGAGGATTATAAAGAAACAAGGAACCCCCGGGGCTACAGAAACAGACACACCTTCCCCCAGAGCTGACGACGAGAGAGAGACTTCCCCTAGAGCTGGTGCCCTGGATTTGAACCTCCAGCCTCCTAAACTGTGAGAAATTAAGTTTGTTCATTAAAGCCTCCCCTTGTGGCGTTTCTGTCGCAGAAGCGCTAGGGAACTAAAATGGGTGCGCAACAAACACTACAAGCATTTCACCAAACTGTCCCCACACCTACAGGGCAGCCAGCAGAAGGACTTCTGGGCTGGACGCTCAAGAGCAGAACGGAGCCTGCCTGTTCCCCAGCCACTGGCAGCCCACAGCTCAAATCCGCCTCCAAGGAATGATGTGCGAAAGGAGAGGCTGCAGGAATAAAAACCATCTCTCAGCTACAGCAGACTTCTGAAGTGTCCCCGGGGGCTCACTGACGGCTGGCACCACGGGCTCCAGCGCCGGGTTGGCTCCCAGGGTGCCTGATTTGACAGGACACAGCCTGCCTCGTTTTGCGCCCACCCAGCCTGACATCAGGGTGGACAAGAAGGAGGGTCGGGGGGGGGCAGCTGGGGAGCTGAGGTTGTGCAAAGGGGGAGGGGGCGACGGAGCGGTGGGTACAAGGGAGGGGCGTGCCAGGTGGGGGAGCTGCCCAAGGAACCGCATGGGCCTGTGCAAGGAGCCCCACGCATCCACCCCGGGGCCTGTGCTCATGTGATCTCCCTCGTGGAGCTCAACCCCAGGCCCCTCTACCTTCTGGAATGGGCTTCCTCCAAGTCCACACCCCTAAGTCACTCCTGTGACGACAGCAGCAGCGAGCACTGGTTACATGCCTACTGCTGAGCACGGAGCTCTAACGGTGCCTGCAGGGGGCCTCCAGGCTTCTCCCGAGCATGGAGCCCTAAGGGCACCCACAGGGGGCGGCCAGGCTTCTCCTGAGCATGGAGCCCTAATAGCACCCACTGGAGGCCGCCAGGCTTCTCCAGAGCATGGAGCCCTAATGGCACCTGCAGGATGCCACCAGGCTTCTCCCAAGCATGGAGCCCTAACAGCACCCGCAGGAGGCCACCAGGCTTCTCACAAGTATGCAGCCCTAACGGCGCCCGCAGGGGGCCGCCAGGCTTCTCCTGAGCATGGAGCCCTAACAGCACCCACAGGAGGCCGCCAGGCTTCTCTGGAGCATGGAGCCCTAACGGCACCCGCAGGAGGCCGCCAGACTTCTCCCGAGCATGGAGCCCTAACGGCGCCCGCAGGGGGCCGCCAGGCTTCTGAGCATGGAGCCCTAATAGCACCCACAGGAGGCCGTCAGACTTCTCCCGAGCATGGAGCCCTAACGGCACCCGCAGGAGGCCGCCAGACTTCTCCCGAGCATGGAGCCCTAATGGCACCCGCAGGAGGCTGCCAGGCTTCTCCAGAGCATGGAGCCCTAAGGGCGCCCGCAGGGGGCCACTAGGCTTCTCTGGGCTCACAGCTCCCAGAACGACAGCAGGTACACCTGTGTCTGTACACCTCTGTGCCTGGTCCCAGGCTGTCACAATGCAGGTAGTGTCAGCCAATGACCCACAGGTGGTGGGATGAACCCAGACCCCTGGCCTGACAGCCCCACCAGCTGTTTCCGGGGGTTACGTCCCAACAGCTGCAGAGAAGACTGGGGAGACCCGGTGCCAAGGGCAAGTCAGTGCCCAGGCCACCACCACCGCACAGACGTCTGCGTCCCAGCACCCCAGGCTCCCCTACACCGAGCACGCGGACCCCACACACATGCCTAAGCAGCATGCTCCCCCAGCCTCCACCAGGGTCCCGGCATTCCCGGAGGAGCTGCGGCACAGAGATTCCCTGCCTGCTCTGCCCCCACTCATGCAGACCTGCTGGGAGGTGGTGGGGAGCCTCAGCAGAGACGCAGCCATCGGGGTTCACTGCGTAACCCTGTGTGTGCGTCAGAGCACAGAATCCCAGCCTGGCCCTTCACCATGAGCTGACCCCACCAGAGGATGAAGCTGACCCCAGCCTCCTGTACCCCCTGGCGCTGCTGGGATGACCGATCATTGATGTGCCTTCGCCCGAACACGCCCACAGAGCACGCACTTCGCACTGGGCTGTATGAAGTGCTGGGGGTGGTGCAGGAACAAAGCAGACACCCCCTGCCCGGAGCGGACACTCCAGTGTCACAGGGCGCGGCATCGCGGGTGAACGGGCTGGACGCTGGCCCCCCCGACCAGTGGCTCTTGGGGAGCCTTGTGGGCCCCTTGGTAGGCAGGACTGGTGTCCCCGGATACAGGTGGCGCACCGTTGATGGGGGTGTGGGGCACCTGAAGGCCCTTCCTCCCAGAGGAGCCCAAGCATCCGCTGGCGCCAGGCAAGGCTACATCCTCACTTCCCTCCTCGGCTCTGGAGCGCCCCACCTCCTGGGCCCGGAAGCCCCAGCCAGCCTCCCTCTCAGGGCCACCGTGGAGTCCCGCTGGGCAAGGAGGTGGAGGCACAGCTCCGGTCAACTGCACAGAAATCGGCCGACCAGGTGCTCAGTGGACGAAGGCGGGGCGATGAGGTTCCTCTCCAAAGGTGGGCACTCCCCTGCATCAGTCACCTGGGCCTCGCGCCAGCCTGCACGCCCAAGTCCAGAAACAGGCTTGGGTGCATTCTCCAAGACAGCCACCGGCCTTCTTATGGCTTGAACTGTGTTCCCCCAAAAGTTATGCTGAAGTCCTAATCTCCGGACCTATGCATGCAGCCCTGCTTGGAAAAAGGGGTTTTCTTTTGTCATGTATGTTAGGACTCCCTGGTGGCACAAACGGCTAGGTGCTCAACTACTGACCAGAAGGTTGAAGGTCTCAGTCCACCCAGAAAACCCGCTGCCGTCAAGTCAATACTGACTCACAGAGACCCTACAGGACAGAGCAGAACTGCCCCATAGGGTTTCCAAGGAGCCGCTGGTGGATTCGAACGGCTGACATTTTGGTTAGCAGCTGAGCTCTTAACCACTGCGCCACCAGGGCTCCAATCCACCCAAAGGTGCCTCAAAAGAAAGGCCTGGTGATCTGCTTCCAAAACGTCACAGCCTTGAAAACTACGGAGCACAGTTCTACTCTGCACACGTGGGGTCGCCATGAGTCAGGATCGACTCAACGGCAGCTGGTTTGGTTTTTCGGGTTTTTGTTATGTTAACGATGTCATACCAGGCTAGGGTGGGTCCTAAATCGAATCCCTTCTGAGTGGTTTTTTATAGAAAGAGCAGGACAGACACAGAGACACAACGGCGGGAAGACATGCCATGTGCAGACCCGTCTACGAGCAAAGGAACGGCGAGGATCGCCAGCAGACGCCAGAAACGAGGCATCGACACGGCTGAGATCATAACTTAGACTTTGAGGCTCCGGGAACTGTGAGACAATAAGCTTCTGTTCCTTAAAGCCACCCATTTGCAGTACATTTTGTTAGGGCAGCACTGGGTAATTAACTGAGGAGCCCTGGTGGTGTAGTGGCTAAGTGCTCAGCTGCTAACCAAAAGATCGGTGGTTCAAGCCCACCAGCCGCTCCGTGGGAGAAAGATGTGGCAGTCTGCTTCCATAAAGACTACAGCCTTGGAAACCCTATGGGGCAGTTCTGCTCTGTCCTATAGGGTCGATATGAGTCGGAATAGACTGGACGGCAGTGGC